GGAAAGAGAGGAGAGGAAAACTAGTGCTGCTTAGCAGTGTTACCCAGACAGGGGCAGAAAGGGGGGTTAAGGATGTTCTACTGTTAGCATTTCTACAGACCTTTTGGTTTATCTGGGGCCAGGGATGGGTAGAAAGGCCATTATCATTTTACAGACATACAGTTAGAAGGTGGGAAAACTCCCAGCTGTACTCACTATTCTCAGGGAGCATAAGGAGCTATTTCTGTTTGAAATCAAAGGTTCTCTTCATCTACAGCACTGCATGAGTGCCTGAGAGCTGGAACATGGTCCTGATTTACTTATTTCCATGAAAATAAGTAATTTATTTTGTGAGAGAAATGGGAAAACAAAATCAATGCAAATTATTTTAAATAAATTTGATTTTAAAAATCCAACTTTTGCTAACTTTATGGATTTTTCATAATACAACTAAAGAAATTTGTAATAAACATATGTCTTATGCAGTTGAGCTTTTATTAAAATGTCAAGTGTTACTCCAGTAGGTCAGACTACTTGATTCTCCTTTTTAGTTTTCTTTTTTAATATTTCCAAAGGAGAACAATGATCCACTAGCCAGAATTCTCATAACGACTTTGCTTTCATTCGTTCATTTCTGAATAATGATAATAATTTCCTCTATCCTCTATTACATACATGTTGTGGGTGTTGAACTTGAATGTAAATTGATTTGAATTTTTTTAATAAATGTTACGATCTCTTTTTGCAATAGGTCAAGGAAAGTTTTAAAAATGTGGCAATTTATGGACCAGTCTGATATTGAAACCATGCGAAGTCTGAAAGATGCTATGGCACAACATGAGTCATCATCTGAATACAGGAAAGTGGTTAACCGGGCACTCAATATTCCAGGCTGTAAAGTTGTTCCTTTCTGCGGTGTATTTTTAAAAGAGCTGTGTGAAGTTTTGGACGGGGCATCAAGCCTTATCAGACTCTGTCCACGATATAACTCCCAGAATGAAACATTAGAGGTAAGTGAGAGTCATATTCTAAAGGGTTAGGTTCATAGCCATCCAGTGCTTCATTTCATATTATTTATATTGTTTATTATTTTATACAAAGACATAATCTAGTTAAATTTTTCTAAACCAGATTGTTACCACTGTTGAGTTACATGGACCTCAGTTTAATTCCCATAGTTAGTGTAGCAATTTAAATTTGGTTGTTTATATCTAGTTCACTATTGAAATACTCAGAAATTAAAATTAGGACCAAAGGATCGTGTTTGTCAGTATGTAAATCCTTAAAGATGTAACTACTTTCTGTTAAATACTCTGACCTTCCGCTTAATTCACTGGGAATTGGAAAGTTTTCAGTTCTTTAAAAATGGAATTCAGAAGCTCGGTGGATCAGGCTTTTCATCCATGAAAAGAAGCAATTCCTTTGAGTTTTATAATTTTGGTTCAAAGAAAAATGCCCCTGTTAGATGAAAAGATTAAGACTGAAACTTTTTAAGTTTTAGGAGTTACTGAAACTTATGTTGTTTGATTTGTGCAGTGATTTGGTCTGTTTAGGGTTGGAAGTAGGTATAAAATCACATTAGAAGCTAATATGAAATATATGCTGAATATTAATTCTTGTAAAAATTTTTCCAATGAGAAGTAGATGACACAACATTCTATTTATTACTATACTAATCTTTTAGGTCTCTCTAGTTTGTTTCAGATTACAGTGGACAAGATAATTTCTTGCAACGAGTAGGCCAAGATGGTTTAAATAATCCAGAAAAAGAATCAACAGCAAACAGTATCTTTCAAACGATTCGGAGCTGCAATCGCAGTTTGGAATCTGAAGAGGGTGAAGACAATTTTAGTGAAGGGAGTAATTCAAGAAAAAACTCTTTGAAGGACAAAACCCGGTACCAGTAGGTCTCATTTTATTTTCTGTCATCACCTGTATATTTCATGGTTTTAATCTTTAGTTTCCTTTCACCAGGGCTCACTTTTAGTAAGAAGGTCGACTTTAACATCTTCCCTTTATCCTCTTCCAGTTCAGAACTTTTCTCCCCTGCAGTTATGCTAAGTATCTGATACTCAAATGCTAGGAAACTCTCTGCATAGTTTTATTTTCCTTCATGATGTAATTACTTCCTCTCATGATAAGGGTAAATCCTTTTCGTCTTACACATAGACCTTTAAAAATCCACAGTTACGATGACAATTTTGATCTGTGGTGACAGGAATAGCACCAGGACATATCCGTTATCAGAGCTCAGAACATTACATTCTGCATGCTTGGGCAGCGGTCTGCCCACTTCAGAAGAAAGGTTATTTGTTATCCTTCAGAAGACCTCTTCTTTTAAGGGCATGTTCATTTAAGGCTTTTGAATTATGTCCAGAAAAGAGTTACAAGTCAGTACACATTTTGAATTTTCAGGTTGCTGTAGTCCTGCTATTTTGCATAAAAGTTTTCTTAATTGTGCCCTTTGTAAAAAATCCAAATGTTCAATAATCTCAGATTTTCACTTCAAAGATGTGGTATATTCTGTACTATTCACTAGCAAGAAATATGTTAAATGCAAAGTTTAAGAGATCACTTAATCTAGAATGTTGCTTTGCGGTGAAGTTGCAGCCCATATAGACATAGGTGGGTTTAAACTAAGTAACCATGTTAGAATAATTTCAAATTAAGTAACAGAACTGTACTGTTCAGAGGTGAAGCCCTGTAAAATTAGGTGATGGCTTGCAAAGAAGAGCATGCTTAGGTCACTGCTTGAGTTATTTTATTGATAGAATCAGAAATACCCACATGTTCAGAAGTATCCAACATATTTCAGCTACTTACACATAAAATCTAATAAGTGCCTGCCTGAGAAGGAACTACCATCTTCCTGTTTTAAATGCATTTATTTAATTAACATGCAGTTCTAAATTTCATTTCAAATAAATAATCATTATTTCCTGAAAGAATGATTTCTAATAGAATTATTCACATCTGGCTTTAGTTGCTTCTGGAAAGTGGAGCGGTAGATTAAGCCAAGAAAGACAGACCCACTTCTCTGTCCATTTATGTTGTCTCTTGACTTACTTCAGTTCAAAGACATTCTTCCAGGAATTATTTTTATTAATAATTATGCTTTAAAATCAGCTTACAGCAGTTCAAATGGAGAATAAGCTAGGGAAATAAACATTTCACTTCGATGAACAGAGCAGAGTTTGAATCTAAAAGAACAGTATGAAAAAGATGAAGTTTTCTTTGTTATGTGTTTATGAAATCAGTACTTAGTAATTAGTTATGCTTTTTATTTAAATATAAACTAGTAAGTTACACTTTAAAGTAGGACTTCAATGCAAAAAAAAAAAAAAAAAACCCAAACTAATATAACTGAAAATACTGAAAAAAAAACCCCTGAAAAAAAAGTTTAAAATTTAAGTGAACAAAGTGGCAGATAGGTAATTGAAATTGTGTTTCCTGTTTCAGGCTACTAACTACTCAGTTGTTATTATCTATAGTACTGATCTTAATGTATAATAATGTATAATGACTTGTAGAAAAATACTTCTGGAAGTATTGATTTAGCTCAAGTGCCTCCTAGACTTTGGAAATTCCCTATTCACCTGCCATTTCTTCCCTGGGCATTCAGACAGCTGGGTGAGGCACACGAGCAAATTGCTGCAGAAGCAAAAGGGCCACAGTTCATTGTCCTTGTTGTATGGAGGCTGCAATGTTCAGTTTATTTTAATGCTGTGAATACCTAAGAAGTTGTAATGAGGAAACCTAGGTGAGAAAAGTCATATTTGTATACAGTATTATAAAATCCAAATTATATAACAATTAGATATTAGCTGATAATTGTAGTATTGTGGTCAAAAAGGCAAAAAAATACACTGTATAACATGTTTCTTATTACATTAGAATTGCAAGGTGCCCTTTGCTGATTTGGATTAACGTTGTGGAACATGAACCCCCACCAAAGCTGGTAGATTAGTTTGATTTGAAGAAAATGAAAGGCATCTAATAAAATCAGTGTTAGTGTGTATAATTACTTTCCCAATTGTGGTAGCAAATAAACTATCACTCTGTAATCAGTGACCTGAATTTCTGTACATGCCAGAAAAATATCAAATTTTAATCTTTATTAGAACTCTGTCTTGACAGTTCTCAAATAAGTACAGATAGACAGGAAAAGACAAAGAAGTTTGAATTACAGTTTTTATAGAATTGTTAATCAAATTGCCTATTAAGATACGGTAAACTTTGATGCTTCACTATATTAGCCTCATCTCATCTTCACTTTTAGGCTTTCCTAATTACAGTAAATACCTTTTAAAGTAATAGGGGAAAACCTCAAGTTTTTTGCTTTTCATATCCCTTGCAATTTTCCCCTCTAAAACTGCAATCTGTTTTAATGTTTCCTTTATTCTTCCTTTTCATTTCCTTGCATCTCAGTGCAGCACATGTAAAGAAAGCTGATTCGAACCGAGTTCTGTGAGTGTGTTCTCAATACTTGATAGCTGTGTCGCTTTTGGCAGCTTGTGTCAAAGATATGTTTCTCTGCATGATTTTGTGTGTGTTGTTGACTTACCTGCTTCTTGTACATTTTAATCTGCAGTATGCCAGTGCTATCAAATATGAATTAAGGCATAAACAAAGCTCTGCCTTTTCTGTCTCCACTATACTAGACTCCTCCAGCCGTGCACATCCAGTCTCAGAATACATTTTCTAGCATTTTTGCAGAGATTTATTTGATTGTTTTGAGGTCATGGGGGGAGAAAGAGCTGCTTTCCTTGTTTGTTTACTTTGAAAATCTTAATCTTATATAACACAGGTAAATATTTTAATGTGTCTGGTAAGACAGTTTATACCAGCTTAGTTATAACGCATGACCTTTATTTGTAGCAAGATTTCTTAAGGAAATAGAGCTACAGTTAAGGCTGATACAGTTATTGTGCCTTTGTCAGTGACAAGTAATAAATCCTTAGTCTGTTGGCCACTTTTTGCTGAATTTGGTGGAGAAAGAAGTAGAAATCACACTGCTTAATAAATTCATAGAGGAATCATTAGAGTTGATATATGGAATAAAGTCAGTTAGTGCCCTGGTTAGAGAAGAACTTGAGGAAGAGCTAATGGTTCTCCATGCTGTTTAGCTTAGGGAGATGGTTTATGTGACTTGGAACAAGTCACAACATGAATTGGTTTTGCTCAGCTCATAGGACATGGGCAGGAGCTGAGAGTACGTGATGATATGAAGAGGAAGTAGTCAGGGTATTAGGGCAAGATGCCGTGAAGAATATGCAGAGGAAGCTGGTTTGGGTTTTGTTGGCCAGATAGCCTTAAGAAAATGTGCTTCATTTGTTCTGCTTCATGGAACAGATTGCTCTTTTTTATGTTCATTAAAGCAGTATCAAAATATTGAACATTTTTGCATTCATACATGTTAGAAGCTTCTGCAATGAAAAAAGTTATTTAAACTACCTCATGTATTAGTTCAGTATTGTTGATTGTTGCTCCATATCTACTGTTTCTAATTATGGTAAGATATTTCAACAATTTTGGTTGGTGCATGCAAGTTTCATGTTAATATTTTGCTTAAGTAAAATTAAATTTTCTAACGGGAAGTATCTGATCAAATTCTTGCTGCATTCCTGTGAGGAACGTATGTATTTGAACCACTATTTTACAAGTGTTAATCAAAGAATTATATAATGTGAAAAGTCCCCACACTAAAGCAGTAATAGAGTGGAGATTAGAAGTCCGGTCTTCAATCCATTAGGTCTTGCTAACAGATTCCATATACTGTACTTGATATTTCAACTGAAGCAATCTTATGCTTTGGATTTAAAAACTGGAATCATGGCTTTAAGATCCACATGGAGGCTTTTTATTGTTAATGTAATGTTTGGGAAAACATTATATAAGAAAATATAATTATATTGTTACAGGAGTTATAATTAATAGTAGCAGCATGTACTTATTAATTTGAAATTGCAATAATATACATTGTAATACTGTACAATCTACAGATGTTCCTATAAATCCAAATTGTAAGGTGCTGTTAGTATTCTTTTTAATTTACACCAGAAATATATTCATAAATCAGAGCATAAATAAGCACATGTGTCACTAAAGATGTATCTCTTATTTTTACTCACATACAGATTTATAATTGGAGATCTTTCAGATTCTGAAAGTGATATATTTGAGCAGTTGAAGGAGTGGGACACTAGTTCAACAGAAGAGCAGCAAAAGGCTTTCTGCCATGGAATAGAACTCATTCCCTGGTATGTGTTATCTATCCGGGCTGATGTCCATCAGTTCATGCAACAAGGGGCAACCGTCATTCATTATGACCAGGAGACACATCTCTCAGCACGTTGCTTTCTTCAGCTTCAGCCTGACAATAGTACTTTGACTTGGACAAAACCCACAACGGTTTGCCCTGCAAACACGAAGGCAAAACTGAGTGTACTGGGTAATACTGCTGAGCTTGGTAAATACCAGATTCTTGGTAATACTGGACTGGTGGAAGGTTTTTTGGACTTGTTTTCAGCCAAGGCTGTATACATGGGACACTCTGGCATTGATATGCACACTGTGTGTGTTCAAAATAAACTTTGTAATATGTCCCTTGAAGAAAACGGTATAACACTACTTTATGGACTTCAGACTACTGATAATAAGTTGCTGCACTTTGTTGCTCCAAAATATACTGCCAGAATGCTGTATGATGGATTGCTGGAATTGACTAAAGCTGTAAGAAAAATGAGAAGATTCCCTGATCAGAGACTACAGTGGCTACGGAAACAGTATGTCAGCCTTTACCAGGTAAAAGTTGCTGTGATTTTGTACAAGAGAAGTTCAGAAATGTTAACAACTTAATGTAGAGTAATTATTTTCTATTATAACTAAATTAAAATTAAAAATGAGAACCAAATCTCCAACTTTTCAACACAGCTTAAATAAGTATGATCTGATTCTCCACATAATGTTCTGTCAAACCTTGCATGTTTTCAATACACTGAAGTTAAACCTTTTTTTATTATGAAGCTCTTCGTATGTTTGGAGTTTTGGAATAAGTATTTTATTAAAGAAAAAGCAATGCCTGAACTTGAAAACAGTTCTGAAATACTGAGTGATGAGAGTTAGGGCCAAAAAACCTGCCAAAATAGCAAACAAAAAAGCTCTTTGATACTCATGCAGTAATTAAAAATTGCCTCCCCCTGATGTTTTGTCTTTCATTCGTTCCTTAGAGATGTCTATTTTATTGCTTAAGAAAATGTGTCTGTTCTTTCTCTTGTTTTGTTAACGCTGAGAATTTTTGTAGGAGGATGGAAGGTTTGAAGGCCCAACCTTGGCTCAGGCTGTTGAACTGTTTGGAGGCAGACGATGGAGTGCAAGAAACACAAGCACAGGAACTCTCACCAAAAGCACCGAGAAACCTAGCGTACAGAGAAACAACACTCTGGGAATAAGCACAGCTAAGAAAAAGAAAAAAGTACTCATGAGGGTAGAAGATTTTGTTATTCATGTAGTTTGTGCTTATCTGGCTGATTTGTTTCCTTCTTACAAATGACTGTGTAGGTAACTGTATTCTGAACCAGAGAAAAGTTAGATGATAATTTAAAAACTGTTTATTGCAGTTTCAGGTTTTGAGCTTGTTGTTTCCAATAGTTCAGGTTTCTTTTCCATGCTTGAAGCATTCTCAGGACATGTGGGTGCAGGGGCTAGCAGCAGGGAAACGGAATCTTTTTGGGACCTCTGGGTGCTACCTCACTATAAAGATAAAATAGTATGGTGCTTGTTATTTCTAGGGTGAAAGTGGAGAGGCCACTGATGATGAAATGGCAACTCGGAAGGCAAAAAGCTCTAAGGAATATCGTAATAGAAGTGGTTCAGATCCTCAAGATCTTGATGAACAAGAAGAACAAGGTAGATATATTGCTTCAGTACTTAAAATCCCTCAGAGTTTTGCTCAAAGCCTTTTTTTATGGTGTTAAAAATACTTCTATAATACGAAACTACTTTTGCATTGAAATTGTAAATGCTATAAACTTTTTAATTTTTGTAGTTGCTTGTGGTTGTTCTTTCATTTACTTTCAGTAGCACTTCCTTTCCATTCAGATGAAATGGGTATATAAGTGTTGTTCAGAATGTATCTTTTTCGACTGTCTTGGGGCAAATCTAGAATCCCTTTAGTGTCTTACTACACCTTAATGAATTGTGATATAGGTGTCTTGGACAAAAGCATTTTTATTGGGACAGATGTTGTAATTGTGCTGCAAACTTCTGTTTTCTCCATAGATCAGAATATTACTATTAATGCTTCTCCATCTAACAACCTGCCATCAAGAAGAGCTCACTCTCTAACAGCATCTGGATCTCCTAATTTAGGAGCTACAACGTCTTCACCAGCAAGACCAGTGTCCTCTCCTGTAATTTCTTCAAACAAGAGTCAATCTAGGTAAGGATAAAAGCAGTGCTTTGATTTAAAAAAACAAGTTACTGTTACCTAATTATCATCAAATGTGGTTTTCAGGCCAAACTGACAAAATCTGACAAAAACGATGCCAGAAATGTACTAGCCTTTTGAGAGACATCTAAAACACATTGTAGAACAATGTGTTTTTCAGACATTTAAGCTGAAATACCATGAATCTGAGGATGGCTGTGTAGCAAGTCCCTGAGCAGCGTGCTTCAGTTTCTGTCTATTACAGAAGCAGATTGGAATGCTGTTCCAAAACTACACAGATATGGAGTTTAACTCTTTCTCCAGATCTGCACCAAAACATAGTTACAGATGTCGTCTGTATAATGAAAATCAATAGAAATGTTATAGATGTGTGGACTGAAGTTCTAAGGTTTCTCAGCACAAGTCATTACTACCTTGGGGAGTATTAACTTTTGCTGACATTCCTGGTGATGGTTGTAGTACTGCCTTGGGGAACTGGAGGAACAGATTTGAAATCTTTCTCTTACAGACCTCTCCCCATTGAACATCCTTCCTTTTTGTGTCACTTAAGTAGTGCAGAAGGTTGTGCTGTGGTTGTGCAATGACATAGCACACTATTGTATTAATTCTAGAAATACTGATGGTGGTGGTGGTAGTAGTTGTAGTAATAATAGTATTACAATGATAATATGTCAGGGATGTGGATGGTAGTTCATGACATGCTAGAAAACAGACTCAACAGAGGCCTTCCTGTGCCTTTTACCAGAATGAACACAGAGGTGTGCTTATGAGTATGAATTTGGGTTTCCAGGAGGGCAATGATAACAATAGAAGAGATTATTTCTGCTGGGAGAACGTTATTTTTGAAGAAACATGTTTTGTGTGATGGTGTATGTTGTGTATTTCTTAGGGCTTTTTTTTTTTCACATGTAAAACTTTGGCAGTAGGTGTAAGGAGTAGAGCCACCTGTGAACAGCTTTCTGAGACTCATTACTATGTCTTTTTGTTCTTCACTGTCATTTGCAACCTTGTGATGAACACACCAGACTAGGATTTACCTCTGTAAGACATTTATTTCTTTTTTATGAAGGGTTGGAACAGCTTTCTTTTACATTAAACTGAAGAAAATGCTGCTTTACTACCTCTGGAAAATGCTTCTCTGCTTTGCAAATCTGCTTTTTGCGTTTATGCCAAAATAATTGTTCTTCTCTAAATGAGATTAAAAAGCTCAGTGGAGAACTTACATTCCCTGGGGAAGGACAGCTAATATTCCTTTAATTCCTCTCAGTCCTGGGTTTCTGTACAGATCCCCATGCAGCTTAGCACTATGAGCCTCCCTGAGTTATGACAGATTTTCCCTGGCAAAGTTGTGTGGAAACTCCACTGCGTTTCTTGGTAGAGTTTTCCCCAACTTGATATGACCCTTCTTGTTAGAATTTCCTCAGCATACAGCTGTATGGCTGTTTCATCTGTCCTGAGGAAATTCCTCAGAACAGAATTACGTGCTTTATCCATTGCCTTGACCCAGTTTTCCTGAGCCGTTAAGAGACTTGGGAGTACTGGAGAGAATTTTAGTCTTCATATTTACCCTTTGGACCCTTGATAGGTCTGAACTGTGCTTGCCAGTTCTCACTTGTGCCTCAACTATGATCAGTAAGTCTAAGTTGTCGAGTACCTGGCTCTCTGCTTTGCTGCAAAGTGCTATGTGTGTATTAATTTAAACCTGGGATCTCTTTTAGAGTAAACCAGCTGGTTACCTCCAAGATGGCATTCAGGTGCAGTTCTGGGAATATTTTCTCCAGAGACTTCAGTAATTGGATAGTATGGATGGAGAGCTTATTCAGTCTCAAACTACCTACAGTATACTGTCTTGTAGGGGACACTTCCAGCAAGGATTGTGCTGTCAAGCAATCTTCCCAATCATGGCACGTCCTATTGCTTTGTGTTACATAAAATAAATGGCAATCTGTCGGTCCATAGTATGTGCCACAGCTTATTTCAGCCACTTCAGATAGAACACACACCAAAAATGAAAATGATATCTTAGAGACAGTCAAGCACTGTAGGGAACCAAACCAGACCTGAGCCAATAGTTGGGCAGTGCAGAGCACTGTCCGCACCGCTCAGAAAACGTGGCAGGATGGATGCCTTTAGCAGAGTAGATGTAACTGATGGAGGAGCAGACCTGACAGTGGTCCACAAGCTGTAGTATGAAAGACTGCAAGCAGCACAGTGTTCTTCCTGGAAGCTGCTGCCCTTAACAGTGGTGATATACAAGCAAGGTAAGCTTGGGAAACAACACAGGCTGAACACAGGCATCTTTTCTTTCTTTTTGCTCCATATTTATTGTTAATTCTGCAGTCTCATAAAACTCAAGTTATATACTTAGTTATAACTGACCAGTTTTGTCAGTACCATCATAAATTAAGATAAAATGAAGTATCCATTTTCCAAAGGAACAGAAAGTTGGTCTGACCCAGATAATGAAATAACCTAGGAAATACAGGATCCACTGGGAGTGCTTGTATGCATTTGTGTGGCTCTGCACAGATTACAGCCAACAGAGGTTATTAATTCAGGTTAGCATCTGGATTCAGACTCAAACACTGACAAGGCTTCATAGTTGGAAGTGGTGTTGGACATGAGCTGGTTGTGCGTTAAGTGAGTGCATGATCCCTCACAGAACCCAGAGCTTAGGAGGTCGGTGAATAGAGGGTCCCTCCGGACTGAGCAGAGCCTTCACAGCACAGAAAGCTCAGTTGGTAACAAAAGATTGCTAGCTGCAGTGCAGCAGTCTGGAGGAGGAGAGCAAGAGAGATTTCTAGTTCTTTTTCTCTTACCATATAATATGTGCATGAACATTTGCCTGACCAGTAAATTAGATCAATGTCCCCAACAAGTGAGAAGCACTAAATAAAATAAAATTTCTTCAAGTGAAAAAAAAAAAAATCTAAATATAATTATAGCAATTTAAAAAGAGGAGGACCTGGCTATCACTGGTTTGAAATAATAGTAATTCTTATATGTAGAGAGTGAAAAGTGGTATTTTTACACATTATAACTCACAACCTTGATATTCCTGACGTCCTTACAAATAGTTTTTGTTGAGAATAATTTCTTACACATCCCAGATGTCCAGATAATTTCCAAACACAGGTAGCCTGCAGGTGTCTTTTGCCATTCTTTAAAAGCAGATGTACCTCCAGCAAGATCCCAAGTTCTTTGGAAATCTAGTGCCACGTATAAGGTGGAGGAAGCAGGGGAAAGCGTGGTAACACCACTGGGAAACAGATAACAGGATATGGAAAAATAGAGAGGGGGGCTTTTTTGTGAAGATAAAGTAAACTGCCTCTCTCATTAGCTGTATACAGGTATAATCCAGACTGTTACCAATTACTTTGGTTGTTGTTGGGGTTCTTAGGTGTTTTTGTAAAAAAAAAATGGACCACTTGTACTCATTACCTGTGGAACGATGTGGATTGCTCTTTAGCAATCAGATCCAGTGAAATGCTAACCATTACCATCTGCTGCCAGTCTTCCACTCAGTGCTCTACAGTTGCAGTCTGTTTTCTGGAGTCAAGAGACTTTCCTCATCATGGTTTATTTTTCTTGTCTGATAAAAATGTTAGGAATGATTTTGCAAAAAAGTTATATGCAATATGTCAGTACTTTCCACAGTGATGTCAAACAAATTGAACATTATCAACTGTGAAGGAGATGGTGTTTTTCAGTACTTTTAAATTACATTCTGCTTTCAATTGCATGCATCCATCCCAGGCCAGGAGGGAATTGAGGAATCTGATCGAGCATATTTATGTAAAATGTTGCCTGCCTGCAGCAGGTGACTGCAGATGTCTTTAGGAACATGGGACAAGCTGGTCCTGTTTTTCCATCACAGCTGTTGGAACTGGGACTATTTGTACTGAACCTGATGGCAGAATTCATAGATTAATGGATTTGTAGACTGAACATTACAGAGAGTCACAATAAAGTCTGACACCTGGTCACCTACTCTGGTGTTTTGAAACAAATACTGTAACTTCTGGAGTTAGTTATGGTTTAAACTAGACAGTTCTTGATACTTGTGCTGCCTGCCGAGATGCCTCCCTTTTCAGGATGCTGGTGCAGGCAGATCCCATTCCTGCAGTTGATTTTCATTGATATTTAGGCCCAGGAAGAGGCTCAAGAGCTCAGCCTGTCATTGGAAATTAGTACATGAAATTCACTGAGGGTTTGTTCATACTACTCAAGGGATAGCTCAAGTTGGGGCCTAACTACACTTACTAGTGTAAATTCTGTAGTAGCCTAAGGATTTTGGGATGTGGCTTTTGAATCGTACTGGTCCTGCTTCAAAAAAGTTTTTTCAGCTGCACATCGTTTAACAAGTTCAGTTATAAAGAAATTGGCTGGGCTTGGTATTACTCAAGTCAACTAGATAATTAGCACCAAACAGCTAGTTGTTTCTGTGATCATTTTCTGCCTTTGCTATCAAGAAATTCCAGTCTACTCTCCTTCCGTCAGCCCCAAAAGCTGAAAGCAGGAAATCATTAGAACTTTGTTTCTAGAATGAAATAGCCTCCAGAAGCTATTGTCCAAGCCTAAAAGAAGAGGAGGACTGTAGCTCAACCTGTCTTTGAGTTACCTGATGGTAGTCCTGACTGTTCTGGGGAAGTATCTGGGAAACCCATGGGCTAGGAAACAGTGAGGGTTGAGTACCAGGAAAGGGGGAGGATTGTGCTGCTTAAAATTGCACCTTCAATGCTTCAACATATGAAAGAAACCCCAGGTGCATAAGGAAAAAAAATGTTTTTCTTGCATATACAGTCAGAATATTACTATTTTATTTTGACAGCACAGAGCTTTAAGGAATTCTATATGTGTTTTATTTTTCCCTTAACAAATCTTCAACAAACCTCATAAACAGCCTGTGCTACAGGAATACTGGCATTGTTTTCTTTAAAGAGAAAATGAGAATGCTTTCATTTGTGCCATTTGCATCAGCTCCTTTTGCACATGGAAGAGTTTTAAATAGCATGCATATGCATTATTAATTCTGGCAAAGTCTGCAGTTGTCTTGAGGGAATGGCATAGCTGCTATAAAACAAGAAGGTACAAACTGTCATTATGCATCTTACAAGATACTGCGTTATTCACTTCTTCCAGATATTGGTAATAAATGCATTAAGGAGAGCACAAATAAAGTGTTAATGCAGTAATGCATAATGTTTCAATGAATAGAATTTAATAAACCAAACTACAGCAGTCTTTTTCTGATTTAGTGCATGGAGCAGCAGTAGCTGGCATGGCCGTGTTAAAGGAGGAATGAAGGGGTTTCAGAACTTCATGGTGTCTGATAGTAACATGACTTTTGTGGAATTTGTAGAGCTCTTCAAATCTTTCAGGTAAAATACATTTTATTCTGTACTGATCTCATTCATCTATGTTTATAAAAGAGTAAAACTTGAACTTTTCAACTCTTTTCACAGTGTCCGTAGCCGCAAGGATCTGAAAGACCTTTTCGATGTCTATGCTGTGCCTTGCAATCGATCTGGTTTAGAACCTGCTCCACTTTACACGAATTTGAAGATTGATGAAAATAGCAGTGGATTCCAGCCTGATTTAGGTTTGTTAAAATGGAAAATACAGCTGCTACATTGCTGAGATTCAGTTACTGGCCTTAAAGAAAAGTGTCTTAGTCTCATAAAGAACTATCAATTATAAGTTTATGTAGAGGATTACAGCCATACTTCCACTAATACATAGTTTGCAGGATGTAAGATAGGTTCTTTGTTCTGAAATGAAGGGGAGGAAAGGGATTCCTGCTTTATATTAGCCAGTTATATTTGTAACCGGTATAGCAGGGGCATAAAACTTGTTGCTGAATAGCTGGGCCCAACACAGGGGTCTGTATCTGCTTGCAGGAGCTCTGTAAGGGCTAAAACACTGAGCAAATGTAGGAAGGAGAAATGAGGAGGCTGTGCCCTGTGTCTCATTTGGTTGTTTTTTCCTAGTACATCTGCTTTATGTGGAACAAGGGGGAAGGAAACTTCTGTCCCATTTTATTCCCCTGTTACCATAATCTAAGTCTGGAGATTTGCGCATATTTAAAGAAAACAGCCTTTCCACCTAGCAGCCTATGGGGAGGGTACAGTACAGTTGGCATATGGGACTGGAAGAAGATAAAAAGTGACTGCACAGGAAGGGTATGAGGTTGTACACACTGAAGGAAAGGCTTTGAGGCTGTACGTGGTACAGAGAGGAAGCAGGAGAGTCCTGGATGACAGTGTGTGAGAGGCTGTGAATCCATGTTAAAAGTTCTAGGATTTTGCTTATATAATTGAGTATTTATAATCCACTCCTACTGTTGTCATACATGCTTCATGCTCTTTCGTCTATCCTTCTTGTGAATAGAAACAAGATGGGTTTGTTCTAATTTACTATATCAGTGCTAAAATAGATATTCAAGTGTGGTATATATTACATTATGTTCTATACAGTATACATAATACACTAATTATATAGCTTATATTTCCTTTTTTTTTTTTCTTTTAAGATTTATTGACTAGGAATGTTTCAGACCTTGGTTTGTTCATTAAGAGCAGGCAGCAACTATCAGACAACCAGAGGCAAATATCTGATGCCATTGCTGCTGCCAGTATTGTAACCAATGGTACTGGAGTTGAAAGCACATCGCTAGGAATATTTGGAGTGGGAATCCAGCAGCTGAACGACTTCCTAGTGAATTGCCAAGGAGAACACTGCACCTATGATGAAATCCTCAGTATTATCCAGGTCTGTAATACAAATATCTTGCAATTCCTTTTACTTGAAGTCTTCTTACTTCTGTTTTCAACACTAGCATTGTTTGCCTTGTAGCCAGAATAGCACATCTGTGTGAATATTTCTTTTCATGCTGATATCGTTGCTACAGTTTACTTGAATTTAAAATTTAATACTATCTTAATTCTGGGCTATAAAATTGTGCAGATGCCTGTAAATATGTCCATAAATAGAAAAAAAAATCATGTAAATAAACAGTTTTATTGGCTATGTGTGCTTTATCCAGAAAGGCATGTCACCACTTGGGAAAAGCATTCGTGATAGTGCATCATTTTCTCCTTGTGACCACCTTTGATAGAGCTTAACCCTAATTTGGAACTATAAAAGGCACCATTTCCACACACTTTTATTTTATTATAAAAATTTTTCCAAGTCAAAGATGAACATTTTATTCCCTTATGTACAATGGCTGAAGTGATTAGAAGGTATGCAGAAAATCTTGAATTCTTCCAAACATGCATAATTAATACACTCCAAAGTTAAGCTCCACTTAGCAGCTAACAAAGGCTAAAAATTATATTTCAGCTATCAACATACAACAAAAAAATATAATAAAAAGTATAATAAAAAATTGCAAATCCTAAAGAAACCTCAAGTTAGCATATACAAGTCTCTTTATTTTGAGATGGTGGTATGTTGCGTTTAAGCACAATAGTTAGGAGAAGGATGCCTGATTATAGATCCTTTTTAATTTCAGTTTAAGTGCTGATTCTGCTTTGAAAAGGAGGTGGGATTAGGTGATCTCCCAACATCCTTTCCAACCTGAATGATTTTATGATTTAAACTTATGAGTTTAGTATGCTTGTTTAGTGATTTGCAAAACAAGCAGGAGTATACTGGAGGCACGTAGTTACCCACAAAAAGAGACTGCTTTTACATACTAACTGGTTAGTTTGGTGAGCAGACTACACTATAAAAATATGAAAAATACCTATTTATAAGAATTTTTATTATATATCTCTTAAATTTCTTCCTTTTTATAGAAATTTGAACCCAGTGTGAATATGTGCCAGCAGGGGCTGCTATCTTTTGAAGGATTTGCAAGGTAATTACTTATGTGTTAATTTTTATATACATGTGTATAAATATATATATAAAAAAATGACATGAGTGTATTGATGTTTGCATGATAGTCACAAAATACTCAGCACAGCATAAAATTTCCTGACATCTTCTCACCTCTAGATTTTTGATGGATAAAGATAACTTTGCCTCTAAAAATGATGAGTCACAAGAGAATGCTGAGGACTTGCACTTTCCGCTGTCGTATTACTTCATAGAATCCTCACACAACACTTACCTTACTGGCCATCAGCTTAAAGGGGAGTCCTCTGTAGAGCTCTACAGCCAGGTATGCAAGATTGGATCATTGTGTAGTTTTCAACATGAACTTGTTTGTTCAACTGGCAAGTCGCAGAAACATGACCTTTTTGCTTTTGAAAATCTAAATGTCCTAAACCCCTGCTTGCAAAATGTTGGAAAACATGATGTGTGGGAAAGCTGCCTGTGAGCACATTTGTGCTCAAATGCCTTTGCTAAGGCAAAAAAATGGGTTTAGTTTGAGGTTCATAGCATTTAGACACCAGTCGGTCTGACCCAACCTACTAAGATTAGACTTTCCCACAGGAAAGACTGATCTAATATTTTAGTTCATTCAGATGTCAAAAACACTACTCAAATACTGTACATTGCTCTGCAAAGACAAATTTCAAATGGAGCTATAACTTCTAAAAACATTTCTTCTAGGAATATTCTTCAGTTTTTCAGACTTTATGCCTGATCGGTGTTCACCAGGAAAAGAACAATTTCTCCCTAGGGCTTTTGGTTCTGTGTTTATTTGTGTGTGTGTGTGTGTGTGTGTATATTTATGTGTCTATATATTTACCAAATGCTAGAGAAGGCATCAAACTTCCTGTGAGTAGTGTTTTCATTACTCTAAATGTTAATGACTCACCATTAAGAAGGGCTTATCTGGTGTCCCATGTGCTGCTTTGCCTGGAGTTATAAAGCATGGGGTGAGGCTGTGTTAGGAAAGCCTGAAAAACACTGTTGCACAGAATAATGCAATTGCAAAGGAGGTTCCTGTAGTAGCACTGCACAGTGATGTGAGTATTGTGTTGGTAATAGATGGGAAGTGAGATACAGCTCATCTGGCTCCAAAGCTTGCATGATGCAGAAAAATTTCTTCCTGTCCCTCAAGTAGCTGTTGTCAGAAGAGAAGGAGCCTTCTATTCTGGCTCAGTGTGTCTGGCTCTCACAGAAGTGGTGGTGTGCCAACTATGGACACAACTGTCTGAAATAAAATTATTCAGGTTTTGAATTATTTTCCTTTGCTCATGAATGTTTTTGCTGGAAATGGTTTTGATTGTAGAGATCTCTGTTTTCATTAAAATATTTAATTGTAATCCAGATAACTCTTTCAATGCTAAGCATGCTAAATATTGATAGCAATAATAAGCTGGACTGCCAACAGATGATTTAGCTTGTCTTTTTCTTCATTCTTCCTCTTTTCTTTCTTCGGTGGTCTTCTAGCAAGTAGGGCTTTATAAACTAAATAAATGAATAAATAAAAAAGGGTGGGTAGTGGATGGTTGGAAGGAAGGAAGGATGGATGGATGGGTGGGTGGGTAGATGGGTGTAAATTAGGTTAATATCATTAAATAAGATGGCCTGGAACATTTTAAGTATCCTCATGAAAATTGTTTGTAGGACATTATTTTCAGACTACCTTCTACTTAAAAAATTAACAAAAACAACAAAAAGAACTGGCAAGCACATAGCAGATGCTATGCCCATAAGTTCTCCTGGTAACAACCTGGAATAAATTGCCATGTTCCTTTATAGCTGCTTTTGCAGGTAGAAATATGGAAATGTTTATCTCCCTCAGAAAATCAAGCTATACATCAAGGACCAGTCACTTTCTGCGAACAGATTCCGCGTGTCCTGTAAGATACCAAGAATTTCAAAGCTTTATGGTACTTCTCCTAAGAACATAAATGCTTTCTAAATTTTCCCACTCTTTCTCAACCTAGGTGTTGTGGTTTAATGTTATCAGCAGTATTCTTAGGCTAAAGTCAGAAACACAGCCCTACACCAGCTACTAAGGAGAAAAATACCTCTTACAGCTGAACCCAGGATACTAGGCAATGCAGTTAGCTGGGTTCTGTAGCTTCTATGGGTTATGTTTATTCCAGAGAGATTACTCTTCCCGGGACTTTCACTGAATCATTCAGCTTTCATTTAGCTCTGCAGTGTCTGCCTTCGACTTTGATGGCATGAGACTGTGGCTTACACGTGCTTACACTGTTCAATTGCATTGTAGGTTCTTTTACAAGGCTGCAGAAGTGTAGAATTAGACTGCTGGGATGGCGATGATGGGATGCCTATCATTTATCATGGGCACACTCTTACTACCAAGATCTCTTTTAAGGTATGCTGGTAATTGCACATAGAAACAAACAAACAAAAAAAAAAATCAGAAGAAAATCAGTAACTTTTTCTCTACTGAAGGTAAAAATTAGCCTACTGGAAAAACTAGGGCTAAATCCTAATAGAATATGAACAATAGACTATGTAGACAGGAACTTCTCAATTGTAAACATTATGCTTTTCAGATTAGTTTTTGTAGCATAAATACTGTAATTTTGTCTTTTTGTTGTCAACATAACTAACAGAAGTAGCTGTTACCAGTTCTGTTGTAATAAGATGCTAGGCTGATCTGAGGAGTTTGTTTTGAAAGCAAATTGTAGATGTTTTCTTCTTAGAGGGGAAAAGGGATGCCTTCCTTTCTCTCCTTTCAAGTAACTGTAAGTTAACTGAATACTGCAAAGTAATCACATGTTCTTTCAATGACCTTTCTTTCTCACAGGAGGTAGTGGAAGCTATTGATCGCAATGCATTTATCACCTCTGACATGCCAATTATCATATCAATAGAAAACCACTGTTCCTTGCCTCAGCAACGAAAGATGGCTGAAATTTTCAAGGTAGGCCATGAGTTGTAAATTATTCTAAGCACGTGCCTTGGGATTTTCCATAATATAATAACATGTTCTCAATGTTTCAGAATGTATTTGGAGATAAGCTGGTAACAAAGTTTTTATTTGAGAGTGACTTTTCTGATGATCCCATGCTTCCATCACCTGGCCAACTGAAAAGAAAAATCCTACTGAAGAACAAGAAGCTGAAAGCTCATCAAACACCAGTGGATATATTGAAACAAAAGGTGAAGTACTTCCTTAATAGCAAGCAACGAGACCTAACTTCTGTTAGAAACAATTCATTTGTGTTTAAAGTTTTTGTTATTCCACTATGTACAGCAGAATAATGCATATTCATGTTTGGAAGACTCACTTGCAACACTCGCAAGTGGATTGCAACACTTTGAAAGAAGTAGGCAAGACAGATAGTCAATATAGACGCAGCATTAAAAAAATTTTACTGAATTTTGGTTTTATAATACTTCATAGTATACTGATTAGCATCACATGTCCTATGTGATGAATGCAGATGAAGTTTCACTCAGAGGCTATAACATTTGCTATTCATGTTTGTTGAACAACAGTGATATGCATCGAGCATGTGTGTATATATACAGCATGCAGTAATTTTGAGTAGAATTCTGCTTTTCTCATTTTTCATATTCAAGCCAGGCAAATACTCTCTTTCTTACTCTCTTTTCAAGGGGTCTGTGCTATTCAGGTAGTGCTTACACTTAACTGAGAATTTTTCTGGTTTCTAAAAATTAGGGCTCCATCTCTGGTAGCCTCCATTTAACCATGTCTGTGGTTAGGCAGCAGTTAGATTGAATCCTTAAACACTAATTGCTTTTACCCAAAATGTAAACACAATTGAATTAGAATTTAATTCTTGTATTAGAATAAGTAAATCACATTGATTGTACCAGTATACGGACATTCTCTGTCTTTTAAAAAAGTTTTAAACTGTTTCCAAGACAAGATTCTTCAGGCTGGAAAAAGGCAGTCTTGATCTAAATACCATGCAGAGTGGACATTTTCCTGTAATTAATTAGGTTTCATATCTTACTGAGTGTTTTTCTACCAATACAAGTTTTCTTTATATTCGAACCCTTAAAATGGTATTTTACTTTGATCTTAAGACTGTTACTAATTTCTCATTATATATATTCAGTGCTCTCATATAAATAAAATAAGATGTAGACAGTGATGAAAACCCTTCTGCTTCTTAAAAATACTTACCAAGAATGTAATAAGTGGTTCTGTTGCTGTAGGCTCACCAGCTGGCACATATGCAAGCACAGGCTAGCAATGGTGCTAGCAACCCCACACCAACCAATGAAGAGGAAGAAGATGAAGAGGATGAATACGACTATGACTATGAATCTCTCTCTGATGGTAACAGTATATATTTGCTTATTTATTACAGTGCTGTTGTTAGCAATAAGGCATGTAAATATTCTAGTTCAGGAATGATGTAGGTAAGTTGATCTTACCTTTTGAGAGGAAGATGTGCTAAATGTCCTTGGTGCAATAGTCGATAATACCTTGAAAATAATTTGACTGTGTAGATGTAGAGGACTTGAGTGTGATTTTAACTCCAACTATGAGATGTTTCAACTATACAGTGTATGCTAAATTGTAGTTTTTATTATTTATATTTTGTATTATTTATATTATCAAAAAATGATTGTGTTCATAGTGTACTCTACCTTCACCTGTGTTGTCTTTCATAAGGAGTTCAGACACCTGAAAGCTCAAAGTTCACGACAGGCTTAGCCCTTGCATTTGTATGACTGCCATTAAGTTGACCTAAGATGCAGATTCTCCAAACTTCTCCTTGGTTACTGTCTGATCCCAGAGACTCCTGAAGAACCTACTTTAGTTACACTTCCAGCATCAGCTGTTCACTTCATGCGTAAAGCCGTGTAACCCAAGTGAAGCCACTGGCTTGTCTGTGGCTTATTCAGTAAAGAGAGCTTTATTAAAGCTTTAGCTGCCCAGTGAAAAAATGGCAAGGCTTGCCTCACTGACTTGCCTTGTTAATTCATGTGCTGTCTATGCTTCAGCTACCCTAGCCTTCAGGAACTGGCAGGCTAGCATAAATCCACCTTTATGAGCAGTTTATATATTGGCTGTAATGACTGACATGCTAAAGGTGATAAAAAATACTGCACTTAATAACTTCCACTACTTTGTTAGCTCTCCAGTTCAGTCGGACACATTTGATTCAACTACAGATGAAGGACAGAATGTGCCACATTGAGGTGACTGAGATTAAGTCATGCATCTTTTTTAACTTCTCTTGCTGTGGGCTGGTAGATTCTGGCAGAGCAAACAGCTGGAGTCAGGAATATTTAATCCTTTCGACTTCCAATAAAGGACATTTGTCAGAACCTCCATGCATGGATTGAACAAGCTGGATGCTTGTTATTTTTAATTGGTAATTTTCAGAAAATATAGCAAAGTAGATCACAGTGCATTTACCCAATGAGGCAGCAGGGATGGTACAAGTAATACCAAGCTCTCTGGGTAGGTAAATGCTTTATCCTTGTTAAACTCCATAAACGGGCCGCAAAACTGACCAAGGGGAGGTGGCCATGACTGGTGGCTGGATGCTCTCTTTAAACAGCATGTCCCCTTGCCACTGTCAGAAAGAGAATGCCCAGCTAAATGGACCCTTGATACCTTGATACCATCTGATACAGCTGGGCATGTTCTGATAAAACAGTAAAGCACTGTGCTTGTTAAACCTTTAAATCTAATGGATATTGTATTCAAATATGATATAGGGAATCAAGCATGTCCTGTGGCACAGGACTTCTTTCCAACTGGTCTTTTATTTACATTACTTGCATCTGTGTTTAATGATTTTAAAAACAGTCAACAAAATTAATAAATGCAGTTCAGGACCTGACACTGCCTGTGGGATAGCAGTATAATGTGTGCTAATATGAAAATACGTGAGTTTAGTGCCTGCGCTGCCTTCAGTTGCATTTTGCTAGAAAGTTGGCCTAACTGGCTACTTGAGAGTACCCATTGTGTGGGACAGGGTGGAGATAGCATGTGTACATTGCTGTGAAAAACTCAGGTCTTTGATTACAGACTTGCCAGGAAAACACTGCGAGCTAACTGCAGTAAGTCATGTTTGAGCGATGTTTGAGTTAGGAGAAAGTTCGAGAAATCCAAAGCTAGCAAGAAACATTCACACCTTCCAATATATGAAGGAATCTGTGGCATGGTTTACTGCTTTGTTACAATGATTATTCTCTGGGATCTTTAATTATATTACTATTTTAGCAAAACTAATCTAAATAATGGTCTGTAAACTTTCTAAAAGATTTTCAGTTTTATTTCCTTACTGTTGCATTAGGATTGTGTAAGGCTAATAGTTTTACAACTGACACTTAATTTTCATTTCTCTGGCTGTAAATCTTAATTTCCTTTACTCTTATTCCCTCTCTGACTCTGTTTCCCTGTAGCTGATGTCCTTAATGCTTCTCCTGCTCCTAACAGCCAGGAAGGTAAAGGCCATTTGGTTGAGCATTTTAACTGCATGAAATCAGCACTGCATCTCCAGCCTGTTGTTAAATGTGACAGTGTGAAAATATGGTTTCTACTTCACATTAAAAACGCATATTTTTATATGGCGTTGTTAACTGGTCAGGAACTGTTAGAAGGCTGCATGTCTGACACTGGTTATGCATCAAGACAATTTGGTCAAAGCATCAGGAATATCAGGAATGAAATAAAACCATTCCTTTTGTGACAGTTGCAATATTTTGGTCTAGAAAGACCAAATTAGTAAGTGTATGATTCTCTGATAAATATGTAGCTTTGGAGAAGAGTTTCTATAGATATAAAAAATACTTATTCATGGTAAATATAAGGCGAGGAAAGTGAAAACTTGCTGTCCAAAGACTTGTATATGTTTGATATGGTTAATCATGTTTGGACTCAAGCAATTCTCTGCTGTTCAGGAGTATCAGTTGTTGTCAGATGGCAAGCTTAATTCATTCAATGATTTTGTTTTAAGGATCTCATGAGCACAAAAGGATGGGCTTTTAAAGAAGTGCAGAATATTAACCAAAGCCAACCATTAAATTTTTAAAGTAGAAAGTTATTACTAAAAGGGAATGCTTTGACCAGTAAATGCGTTTTTTTGGCATCTGGTTATTCAAATAAGATTCACAGCATTGTCCACAAATACTGTTAATTCAAATTAAATTTCCAGTTGGAATTGTTTGGCTTTATGTTTATTAAAATACCATTAATTTTTAGATAACATTCTTGAAGACCGACCTGAGAATAAATTATCAAGTGATAAACTGCAGTTTGAATATAATGAAGAGACTGCCAAACGAATAAAGAAGGCTGATTGTGCTACTTACAATAATAAAGGAAAGGTAGTTCTGCTTTTTACCCCTTTCTTCTCAGCCACGCTTTGATATATAACCAACTTCAAAAGGGTTTGAGCAGTTTACGTAACTGAGACATCAGATGGTAAATGTGTTTTAATGAAGACAAATAGTAGAAAGCATGGAAACACACCAGAGGAAATAGATTACATAGAACAAACACTCATCATACTGTTCAGGGAAAGTCCTCAGAGGTTATTGTATATACAGACTGTTTGGCTGAAAATTTTAACTGTCGTTGCTCTCAGTGAAAGAATTCATTGAAGCGAGATCCAGGCGTTTGTTTAGATATCTAATTTCAATTAATGTCAATGAAACTGCAGATTTCATCTGCATCTTCAGCATCTTTGTGTATTGTAATAACTTTAAAATACTACACTATGATATCAGATAGCCATGTTACTGTTTATTAAATCACCTGACAAACGAACAAGTCCATTGCTGTGTAGTAAATTGCAGTTTCTCCTGAACACAGCTGTTTTTTGTCTTAAATGTTTGTAGAACTGACTCTGATTAAGGGCTTTGCACACTACCATAGTATCAGTAACACGTATTGATGCATAAAACCTGCCCAGGGAGATGTGTTAAGTGAAGACAGCAAACCTTGTAGGAAGAATGAGAGATTTTGAAAAGTTAAGTAAGATATGCAAGAGTACTTTCACATTCAATAATTTTATTATTCTATGTTCTTGGAATTATTACATAGGTTTATGACATGGAGCTGGGAGAAGAATTCTACCTTCCACAAAATAAGAAGGAAAGCAGACAGATAGCACCAGAGCTGTCAGATCTTGTCATTTACTGTCAAGCTGTAAAGTTCCCTGGTAAGTACACTGCCCTGTTTTATTGCTTTAAACTTTCTTATTCTTGGAAACATTATGTTTTGAATTAGTTCTTACAAGCATTTTCAAATTGAAGTAGTCGAGGAGCTTTTTTCTTGATGATTTGGTAGTCTACATAATAATAGCTTCTGGCTGAGAAGTAGTATTCATAAATTATGTGAAGACATACTGTTTGTCATATTAAAATGTTTACGAAAGTGAAATTTGCCAGTCTTCACAACTTAGACAACTGCTTCATTGCCAAACACCAGATGACAGAAAGCTTTATCTTAAGAGTTCCAAGTTTCCATGTAAGGACCTACTGAATTAGGAATGAAAATATTCTTAAAACCTTGCAGGAAGTGGTTGTCACATGTCTTTAAGTGACCTCAGTTCAGTGTGTTTCACCTTTGCCTACAGTGCATCTTGTGTTCTTATCCTAAGTGGATAGGAGGGGAGATATTTGCAGGGGATAAAGGAGCCTTTTCATGGAGTAGGTGAGAATAGCCGATTGCACAGTCACACACACTCTTTATGGAAAGGGTTAAGGAAATAGGAGGGTCTTCCTTTGTACAGTAGGAAGAATAATGTTTGCAGAGGAAAAGGAGAGGGAGTAACTGAAGAGGTCACTGATAGTTACTTGTTCAGTGTTGAAACATGAGGTTGGGTATATTTTGGCTCATACTGTGTACATAAATACTTTTAAATTGAGAATTTATTGTTTATTGATGTGTTTAATGTTTTGAATGAAAAATCTGCTTTTTAGTGGATTGGTTCTCTGTGGAAAAGTCAGCATTTCTGCCAAACCATGATCTTATACAAATAGAACTATAATCAGATTAGAGAAGCTAACCAAACATAGGATAGTGTCAAATAGGCAAGATAAACAAGCTGAAAAATGGAGACACATTCTCTTATAATCTTCTATAACTTTAAGAATTGTAGGTGTCACTTGTAAAAATAATAACTTCTAAAAATTAAAATCTGATACTCTTTTTAATGAAATCTGCAATGAGATACCTTTCAGATAAAATATTTTCTTTTAAAGAATGATATTCAAGATTAAACAGAGGTAGCGTAGGTAATTCCAAGCATTTTGACACACAAAGTAGTTCTGGTGTTCTAAGAAAACTTCGAAGTATTTCAGTTTTTTAATGTAATTTCAGTTATAAAAGAAATATCTGCTTTGCTTATCAGATTTGTTCCTCTTGCTTTAAAGGGCACATGAATAAAAGAATTAAGAAAATGGGTTTCTTCCACAGAACACATGAAACTGTAGAAATAAGTTTTCCAACAAATTTTGTCTCTTTTGAGGCGAATTCTGCCTTCTCTGCAAGATAGTAGACTTCCATGAGCTACTGACTGGATTCCTCTGCTCAGATGGAGGGTGCAGATACTGTCCATTAGTAATGAGAACAAGGCTGGTTGATCCAAGACTTTGTAGCTCTGTTAACTGGATTCCTAACCAACTCAGGAAATGCAAGAGTCTTTGAAATAGGGAGGGCAGAATTCATGTCAGTGGCTGATCAATGGTGTAAATATTTTATATGTCCTATATTTATGTATCTCATATGTTTCTATTCTGTGTTTACATTTGCCTGTGTCCCTGAATATTAATAACTGATTTGTGACTATAAAGAAGGACAAGAACCATTACATTCACTTATCTTAGCCTGAGTAACACAGGCTTCCCTAAGTGCTCCCTGGTCAAAACAGAATTTGTCATGTGTAGAGTTAACATTTCTTGTTTATAAAATGTCTGGTAACAAGGAACCCACCACAGCTGTTGTGGTGGTCAGCTTGTTGTTTCAATCCGTTTTGATCCTTACAGTCTTGCTTATCTTCAGTTTCAGTCTGTTGGATATCATCATAACATTATCTAAGAGGGTGAAGGGCTGTTCTTTTGAGTTAGCCAAGATGAGAGCAGTGAAGCACACTTGGACATGGCTATAACCCACTGGCACATGACTTGTTGCCTTGCTGCTGAGGATCCTTACACAATGAGTAGAGAAAATTGGGTATACAAACAAAGGATCTGCAAATCAAGTGCAGAGCAGGGAGTCACCTGAGCTAACCAGCATGAAATTCAGTCATCATCTTTAGTGTATCAGACTGTCTGCCCCTATGGTATCACTTTTCAAGAAATTAAAGTGAACATAAAAAAGGGCACCCTACATACAAAAGTACCATAAATTCTTTCTCAGGATCTGCAAACCCACAGACTAACTGGCTTTTTATCTGAAACAGATGGTGAGCACGTGACAATTACAGATTAACCTGCTACTTTATCATGGTTAGATGAGAAGGGCAGGGGAGTTTACCATCCTCTGGATTAAAAACCTGTCAGTGGTAAAGCAGCATGGTTATATCTAACAGAAGAGATGGGCACTGAATTCTGTAACTTGAAGGATATAGTATACAGGTTGTAGGGAAGTACAAACCACTTACTTGTCAGTATGGTAGTATGATATGATCTGTGTGCAATATGATGGCATCTAAGTTGGCCCTACATTGACCAGAGAGTTGGATCGGCCGGCTGCCAGATCCTTGCCAACCTTCGTTATTTTGTGAATTTATGATTTGTGAATAGGTGATGCTATGTTAGGGAGTCCAGTTTAAACTGGAGTGAAAAATGGGGCTTGCCTCTAGGAGGAGGCATGATCCCATAGCAAAGCATGGCCATGGGAAAGACTGAAAGAAAACTCCCAGCTGCAGCTTTCCCTGTGGCCATCAGGCTGGCTTCATCTAACGCTGCTGTTTTGTGTTGCACTCTCTGGTGATTTATGAGGTTAGTCTGTTTCCTCAGTGACTGTCTCCACAACAGGATCTTGAAACCTGGATTTTGCTTGCCAAATCCATTTGATCCATTGAAAACTGGGATTAAATAGTGCTGGAAGCACATAACTCCTTATTCTTCTAGTTAGTTCATATTCCTTGATCTCAGCTTCTACCATCTTCTGTGGTTTATGTGTATGCTTTGGCGCAAAGAGACCATACATCTCCAATACCAAAAACATTACGTATATCCTAAATTTTACTAACCCAAGTAGTTCCATTGAAACTGTTAGCATAATTTTACTAGGTGCATGTAGACATGCTGTAAAGATTGAGGGCTGAAAATTTACAGCTGTGGACAGGTTTCAGTAGAAAAGAGTCCAGTGTATCCTTTGTGATCTACATTTCTGGTTGCAATATTAGTATTAAATCCAGAACTGTCTTCAGGCAGGTGTGAACAGATGTGAGTTCATGAGGGTCATTTTTGGCACAGTTAGGCAAATAGTGTACTTGCTTTGCTTGGGTCTCTGAGAGCATCCCACGCCTCACTGCTGTGGCTGTCAGAATAACTATTGTGCATTTTGACTTACTTTAATTTTGGTTTGCTGTGTGCTCTCTCCAGAAAGAAACTGACATTAAGCGCAATTAAGTCTGTTTACTTCACTGGAATTTAGGTCATTACTTTAATGATTATTTTGCTAGAATGCATATGTTCGAGTAATTGCTATACTAGAGCTTTCCAGCTCCAGTTCTAATACATATTGGCCATTAAATGCTTGATGGATTTCGCACACCTACCATGTTTCCCATTGTTAAATACAAATTCTAAACAGAAGATAACTCTGAAAACATCTTGAAGTGAAACTGTTTAACCAACAGTTAAACAGTGTCTGGTCACTGCTGAGCTCATCTGGTTT